CCTTTTTGTCAAAATGATGAAAAAACAGAGATATTCCAATTGCTGAGTGGTCATTGTCCTTTTTGATATACCAGAAAACAGTATTACAAACTTTTTGCACTAAAAACAGAACATATCACCATATTTACTGCTTTAGAAAAATGTACTTATAAATGCTTTATTAAATATATTTTGATTATATTTCGTATGGCAAACGAAATATAATCTATATTTTGATTTATCACATACAAATTAAAAAAAAACTTAAAAGAATCGGAAACAATCAGAAACAATTCAACAAGAATGAAACAAATATATGTACTTCCAAAAGCATCAAATTCTCAAACTGTAGATGTATCGTGTGTCCAAGACTTTTGGACGCATATGAGAATGAGATAACATTTTATTTTAGGTTTCTAAAGCTTTCTTCCGGTTTTTGTTATTGCCGGTTCTGAACCGTCGTAAAACCCTAAATCGTAAAAGAAAAAACACAGGCGTAAAAGAAATATTGCCGCATATTTGCTACGCGCATGCGTTCTAAGACGGTTTAGAATTGGTAATAAGAAAAACCCGGAGCAAGCTTTTAAAAATATAAAAATCGCTCAAGAGTAAAAATTTTTCAAAATACGTAAAAATGTGTCACATAGAAGTAACACTAATTTGCAGAGAAACCTATTTATATTAATATCGCAATTGGAACACTTTGTTCTTCGATTCTATTTTTTGTTTTCTTTTTTTTTAGAAATAGTAGATAATCGAGAACCAGCTGGTACCAATAAAGCAACTGGTAAGTAACATTTTGTGACTTCTATACAAATATTTAAAAAAAAAATTGTGTGTGGGCACTATGTGCGCATATTGTAAGTGAAATTTCTTACTATCAGCTATTAAATTGAAGGACATGTTTGAAAAAGTGTAGTTTGAAATGTTGAAAAAGTAATAAATTAAAAATTAATAAATAATTTGATTCATTTTCACAAAATTTGTATCAAAATCGTCTGTGCGTCTGAGGACTCCATTCGGGTACCTCTATCCACGTGCCTAGTTGGTTCCAATCGACCCATAATTAAGAAAAATCCTGATGATTTCGTCCATTCAGAGGCATCGGTTCGAAACGTTGAGGGCGTCATCCTGTAGCCCGTCCCCAATTATGCCGAAATCGACCCACATTTTTCTTCGATATCAAATCCTTAGTCCCACACTTGTTGACTTGGACCGTGTGCACCATAAAATAATTAACTAAAAAGAAGTGTCAAAGCTGTGTTAAATCGTGGAAACACGATACGCCACCGAAAGCCTTCGTTGTCGTCTGGAGAACTAATTTTCCAATTGACAGGTTGACATGATGGCTTCATTTTTATTTCCGTTTCCGGTTATTCAATGGCGGGCCCTCTTTCAGTTTAAATTATTTTGTACTCTTTCTTATCCTAAATAAAACAAAACAAAATTTTATTCAAACATATTTATTTGAAATATGAGACAACGTGACTAAATAAATATAAAAAATAAAGAATTGAATGATTTCTACAGCAATTACTTAATTATATGCAATTTTAACGTAAATTAGTAAGGTATAAGCATGACTTACAGTAATTTGTAAATAAATACACGTATTCACAGCCATCAGGGACAGAAAACGGGGGCAGGGACATGAAAACCGGAGCCTTATACAAAAACCTGAAAACAGAAAAACAAATTTTTTTATACTAAAGTTAACAATGTAAAAATATCAATAGGTATAAAATATAAATATACTGTTAAAAAAAGCGTCCATTATTCCCAAAGAGACCTGGTTTATAAATCAAAAAGAAGCAAAAAGAGACTTTTAGTCGGATAACAATCAGATTGTATCAGTCAGATTTATTGCATTACTGACAATAAATCGCACATACTGGAGATAGCTAATGTTGGCTATAGTTAAAAATGATCTTACCTTGCTGTAAATCGTTTCCATTTTCAAAAATATCGCCGATCAAACATAACAACATTTTCTCGCATCTAAAAAATACAGAACTAGTGTTTATTTACTACCTATTTTTAATATACATGGGACATACCTAGTACTGCAGAAACGTGTTTTTCTTCAGGATTTTTCATGTAATATATATTTTATATGCTTTATTATCTTTATATTTATAGATTTCTGCCGAAATATCAAATTGAATTTACAAAACAAAACTAAACGGAGAGAATCAAAATGGCGTCGAAATTTGTTCTAGAACAAATCTGAAGTTGTCTCTGAAATCTGTCAATTCTAAACTGTGAAGTTAGACAATAGTTAGACAGAAACATTGCTGTCCTTGTCTAGGCGGCCATACTTGTCGTCAGGAGATGACAGGAATGAAACTAATGACTGTTTCCAATTTTCCTATTTCACTGTCACCACCCTGGTGTGCACCAATAGGGGTTCTAGAACAAATTCGAAAATATTCGACGCCATTTTAATTCATTCCGTTTAGTTTCGTTTTGGAAGTTCAATTTAATATTTCGGCTGAAATTTATAAATATAAAGGTAATAAAGTACCGTATGATCGAAAAAAAACGGCGTCCAGTTGGCTGGGAAATGACGATTGATGACAGTTCCCATATAAATTTACATATAAAATGACAGCGATCTTCATTTCATAGCCAACGCTGACGCCGTTTTTTCTCGATCATACGGTATATAAAATATATATTACATGAAGAATCCTGGAGAAAATGACGTTTCTGCAGTAGTAGGTATGTCCCATGTATATGAAAAATAGGTAGTAAATAAACACTGTTTTTACATTTTTTAGATGCAAGAAAATGGTGTTATAATCTCTTTGATCGGCGATTTTTTTGAAAATGGAAACGATTTACAGCAAGGTAAGATCATTTTTAACTATAGCCAACATTAGTTATCTCCAGTATGTGCGATTTATTGTCAATAATGCAATAAATCGGACTGATAATCTGATTATGTTATCCGACTAAAAGTCTCTTTTTGCATCTTTTTGATTTATAAGCCAGGTTCTTTGGGAATAATGGACGCTTTTTTTAAACAGTATATTTATATTTTATACCTGATATTATATTTATATTTTATATTGATATTTTTACATTGTTAATTTTAGTATAAAAAAATTGTTTTTCTGTTTTCAGGTTTTTGTATAAGGCTCCCGTTTTCATATTCCTGTGTCCGTTTTCTGTCCTTGAAGTTTGCGAATGCGTGTGTTTATTTACAAATTACTGTAAGTCATTCTTATACCTTAACTAATTTACGTTAAAAGTGCGACTAATTGGTATTGAAACAATACAATCCTCTATATTTTTATATTTATTTAGTCACGTTGTTCCATATTTCAAATAAATATATGTGAATAAATTATTTTTTGGTTTTATTTATGAAAAGAAAAAATACAAAATACATTTGAACTGAAAGAGGGCCCGCCATTGAATAACCGGAAACGGAAATAAAAATTAAGCCATCATGTCAACCTGTCAATTGGAAAGTTAGTTCTCCAGACGACAACGAAGGCTTTCGGTGGCGTATCGTGTTTCCACGATTTAACACAGAGTTGATACTTCTTTCTAGTTAATTATTTTATGGTGTGCACCGCCGCGCCGCTTATATAGCCTACCCCCAGATTTGGTCGCGATCGGACATCAACTTTTGACGTTTCCTACGTCAAAACTAACTGTCATAGTGACACGGGTCGTACACGATCAAGTTGGTCTTGGTCCATTCTATTCACATACCAAATTTCATTTAAATCGGATGATTTTTTTACGCTGTCTTTATTGCTCTTCTTCTCGCGTGTCATGCCACGGCTTTGAATTTTCACTCCCAGGGCGTGTAAAGAAGTGTCACTTCAAAAAAGGTACAGGGTGCAATTAAAAATTGTTATATACCTTAGGCCTATTTCCGAAAAAAAAAGATAATTTTATAAATTTAGTGGAAATTTATTATGTTCTGTATATTTGTCACATGTTTTATAATGATTACGTATATTATTTGATTTTATTACATCAATACACATATTAAAGTATTATTGTTTTTAGCTGATACATTCAAAGATATTAAGATTGAAGATTCAGATATCGAAAAAGAAGATCAATTAGAGAACAATTATGTTGATATTGAAGAATATAAAATTGACATTTCATCGTTGAATCGGGTATGTAATAAATAACATAACATTGGCTAAAACGCCAAATTCCACGGGAACTAGCTTCTTAGTAGCTCTCTACTTGTAAATTAAATTTACCTAACCAGTAAAAAGTACCTCACCTTTCAGGGCTAATACCGTATGATCGAAAAAAAACGGCGTCAGCGAAGGCTATGAAATGAAGATCGCTGTCATTTTATATGTAAAATTATATGGGAAATGTCATCGACCGTCATTTCCCAGCCAACTGGACGCCTTTTTTTTCGATCATACGGTACCTTCCCCCATCATAAGAAACTAAAAAAAATATTGCTGAGTGGTCTAGTGGAGATGTACCCCATGATATGTTATTTTTAAATTCCAGCGGATTTTCAGACATATGTGTATTTTATTTATTTCAGATTACCAATAGTACGTCGAAGAAAAGGCCATGTTCTAGCCAACTTGATTACGAAAAGTCTCCACAGAAAAGAGTAAGAGCGGCAATATCCGAAAGTGAATTAACTAAGAAGAACAAGTCACCACGAGTTATGTAAATCCTGGTACTCAATTCATCGTGTGTTGGCGTCCGATCATCAATGAATAGCCGAAAAAGCCATGACCAGCATCTTAACTGAAGCATGTCGCGACAGACTTAACAAGTATTCAGTGGTGATTAACAGTGTTTGAAGTGCGGGTCTATAGTGTTCAAGAACATGCATTTCTAACATGCTACTTCAGTAGCTTAGCTTTAGCGCAGTAGCTTCGCTGTAACCCCGAAGCAGACGATTCTCAGGAAAGCCAGTCGCATGACAGCGCTCATTCCGCCGCCTTCCACTTGTATTTATACCGTGAATTGGCGAGTCGTTGATTTTCTGGAAAGTTTAGTGCTTTTTATTTTTTTTTGCAATGGAGGGCCCATCTACTGTGCTTGTGGACAACAATGACGTGGAAAACTGTGTTTGTATTGTGTGTTGCATCTTAAAAAGTGGATTTTCAAGTCGAAGTTTTCTAGATAAGACGAACATTATTAATTCTGGTAGGCCAATGGACCTCATTAATTTAGAGACAAAAGTGGAAAAATCCACAAAGAAATTTACCAGGCATTTTCACCTGGGGTTTTATGAAAAGTATGACTGGTTAACCGGCTGCAAAAATGTATCAAAATTGTTTTGTTGGCCTTGCTTACTTTTTAATACGTCGGAAAAATCACATTGGAACTCAGTCGGCATTACAGATTTAAATAATTTTCACAAAAGTCTAAAACGGCATGTTAATAACAAATATCATTTGTTTGCTACAGTTGAAGAGAGAACATTCGGGAAGTGTCGCATTGAACATATTTTGGACGATCATTTACAAATTAGCGACAAAATTCACAATGAAAGGGTAACAAAAAATAAGGACGTCTTAAAACGATTAATAGATGCAACTTGTTTTCTTGGAGAGCATAAATTAAGTTTCAGGGGACATAATGAAGCAACCGAATCAGTCAATGGAAGAAACTTTATGGACCTCCTAAATTTTTTAGCAAAATACGACGAAACCTTAAAAAATCATTTTATTGATTCGGCGGTTTTCCGAGGAACCTCAAACACAATCCAAAACGATTTGAATAAGTGCATTGCTGAAGTTGTGGGGGATCACATCAAAAACGAAATTAGAAAAGCACCCTTCGTATCAATTGCCCTTCATGAGACAACAGATATAACTAATTTGAGCCGGATATCCATTGTTGTGCGATATGTACTCGATGGTATTGTTCAAGAGCGATTCTTAGGATTTTTGGATATCACCAGCGATCGAACTGCAGACGCTATGTTTAAAATTGTTTGTGACATTGTTTCAAGTTTAGAATGTGGTTCTAAACTTGTCGCTCAGAGCTATGATGGTGCTGCGGTGATGGCGGGCCATTTAGGAGGCCTTCAAGCTAAAGTGAAGGAAAAATTTCAACATGCAATTTTCGTTCATTGTTTAACGCACAAAATTGATTTGGTTCTGGCACGAGGCTTGGATAATATTAAAAATTGTAAAGTTTTCTTCTCGACGCTTAGCAGCTTGGCTTCCTTTTTTTCAAAATCATCCAAACGAACTCATACTTTGGATACGCACGTTCAAAAGAGATTTCCAAAAGCTGCCCCGACTCGATGGAACTACAATGGAAGTTTAGTGCAAACAGTGTTTGAATACCGTGACTCTTTAATAGACTTTTTCCAAGACGTTTGGCATAATAAAGAAAAATGGGACGGAGAAACTGTTACTGCCGCTGAGGGATTTTTGCATTGGCTAAAAGGAAACTTTGATTTCAATTTCTTGCTGAACGTTTTTGCAGAGATTTTCCCTTTTACTGGCATTTTATTCGAAATTTTACGTTTAATGTCGAATGAAATTGGATTTTGCATGAAACAAATTGACTATTTTAAAAATGAAATAATTAAAAAAAGAGACCAGTTTCAAAACGTTTGGAATAAAACTGAAAATATGGATTTAGAATCCGAGATAAAAAGAATTAGAATTGATAACGTCGGCGACAGAGAGACCTCCTACCATCGGTTATACCTCGAAATATTCGATAACATTTTACAACAAATAGATAGTCGTTTTCGAAATTTTAACGAATTAAAATTTGTGGAATTGTGTAATTTTAATTTGGGTAAAAACTATGATTCATCAAAATTTCCGACTGTCCCTTTTAATTCACTAAAGCTAAATTACGAAAATTTCTTCGATATTCCTGCTTTATATTCTCAGTTAAGTGTCGCTTACGAAACAACTGAAATTAGTGATAAAGAAACTCCCCTGAATGTATTAAATTTTCTAAAAACAACTGGTTTAAATAAGTCTCTATATGAAGTCGCTAAGTTGTGTGAATTAGTACTCACCATGCGAGCCACGAGTGCATCAGGTGAAAAAGGTTTTTCTGCACTGAAGCGCATTAAATGTTTTATGAGAAACTCGACAAGTGAAGACGGAAATTTAGCCCTATTATGCATTGAAAAAGAGTGCGTTCAAAAATTATCTGAAAATCCAAAATTTTACGACGATGTTATAGATAAATTTGCAGCCGTTGATAGACGAATAGACCTCAAGTACAAAGACGTACATTGTGCGCAGAAAAGTGTAAGAACGGCAATTTCGGAAGGCGAATCAACTAAGGAGGACAAGTCACTTGAGTTAGGTAAATCTTGGTCTACCATTCTTCATGGGTTGGAGCTCGAACAGCAACGAATAGCCGAGAAAGCCATCACCAGCATCTTAACTGAAGCCCATCGCGGCAAACTCGACCAGTATTCAGTGATTATTAACGGTCTTCCATGTGTAGATCTCTAATGTTCAAGAACACGTGCTTAATCCGAATCTTATCTGTGATACGATTTGATGGTGAGTTTTAGCACAGAATATCTAGTTGCGTAGCTAGATATTCTGTGGTTTTAGGATTAAACTAAGTGAGGGACATACCGTACCAGGAAGGAATAACTTGTTATTCGGCTTTTATCTAAAAATTAAGTACTCGAATGAAAAACATTTTAATGATAAACGCCGTTTAAAATATAAAATATATAAATCTGATGCGAAAGTCTTATGACGTCATCACACAGACTCAGGATTCATCTCTCCATAAAAGTCCTATGGGTATTTCGCCACTATAAGAAAAGCTACAAAATAAAATAGTTATTTTTTGTAAACACTGCTGGTGTTCCAACCGAGACTAATGCTGGGACCCCATTAGGCCACATGCCACGCCACGCGACGCTATCGTGTGTTGCGACGTGGGATAGAGTGTACAGGGTGGGTCAAATTCGACGCTTTTAAATGGAAACACCTCTTTCTATAGGAGATAGACAAAAACTAATATCGGTGTCTGGAGCTCAATTTTCGTCAAAAACATGATGGTGAAAACCGCATATCGATATCTGTTACTGTTTCGGAGTTACGGGGTGTTTTTCAAAAATATGCATTTTTAACAAATTACTGTAACTTTTTTGCTATGGAAAATTTTGTTTTTTTATGAAAACATTTCCAAAGCACCTTTTTACGTAGAATTTAATGGTTTAACTATAATTTTTTTAAAATTAATAATTTAAGAATTATCAACAGAAAATTTGATTTTTTATATGAGACACCCTGTATATCTTTAATTTATTGAAAAGAATTTAAAATTACCTTTCCAAAAATATAACACACTTGATATTTTGGTCGATTCCTCTTCGAGATATAGAGTATATAAAAATTCGCCCGCTTTAAATAAGTAGGCTTTAAACGGTACCGGCTGTAATGCAAAAAAATTCTAGCTGTGAGCATCAATTAAAACGAAAATAATATTTGCTATGAGAGATGCAGAATTTTATAACAATTTAAAATATATTTAACCAACATCAACACAGTTAAACTATATCTGATAACAATAAAAATAAATAGCAAACCAAGACATGAGATTTTGCATAATTTTATCATCAATAAGGGGTCCAAAGCCTACTCGTTAAAAGTGGCGAACTTTTAAAAATTCTGTATTTCGAAGGGGAATATAACAAAATATCAAGTGTGCTATATTTTTGGAAAGGTAATTTTAAATTCTTTTCGGTTAATTAAAAATATAGAGGGTGTCCCAAATAAAAAATCAATTTTTCTGTTGATAACTCTTAAATTATTAATTTTAAAAAAATTATACTTATACCATTAAATTCTACGTCAAAAGGTGCTTTGGAAATGTTTTCATAGAAATGTAAAATTTTCCATAGCAAAAAAGTTACAGCGATTTGGTAAAAATGCACATTTTTGAAAAACACCCCGTAACTCCTAAACGGTAACAGATATTGATGTGCGGTTTTCACCATCATGTTTTTGATGAAAATTGAGCTCCAGACACCGATATTAGTTTTCGTCTATCTGCTATAGAAAAGGGTGTTTCCATTTAAAAGCGTCGAATTTGACCCACCCTGTACAGGGTGGTCAAAATTGATCTGTTTTAACAGAGAAACCCTATTTCCTGACTAGATAGAGCAAAACCGATATAGATGTCATGAGCTCGATTTCTGAGTTTAATGGCGTAAACCGCCTGTTGATATTTTCACTGCCAACCGAGATACGGTATCTTTGATTTTTTTACCATTTTGAAAATTGCCCATAACTTTTGTAGTTCGCGGAATTCTAAAATTCTGTAAAAACGTTCTTAAGGCACTTTTTTAAGCACAATCCAGTGGCGTAGTCAGTTTTTTTCTATACTTGCTCTTTTTGTCAGAAATAATAAAAAATATAATTTTTAAATGGAAATCATAGTTGGCTATGAACTTAAAGAAATTCTGGCCTTTAACCCTTTCTAACGATATAAGTTATGTGTATTTATTTCTAATAATGAGAGAAATATTAGTTTTTTTATCTTTGTATCGAAGCGGGCCTTGATTTTGTGTTGACCTAGCTGTCTAATTATTTTTTTATCGCAATTTAATATTCTATATTATTATTTATCTGAATTATTAAAGACTTTCGAAAAGTTAAATTATCATTCTATATTAGTATTACCATTTACGATTACAACGCCATGGTTACAACTGCACTATTAAATGGAGAATTTAGAGAGAATTGGATTGGAACAAAGGGTCCCATATCTTGGCCTGCTAGGTCCTGTGATTTAACTCCTTTCGACTTTTTTATGGGGGAAATTAAAAGACCTTATATATAAGGGAAGAACCATTAGGACGAGAGAAGAATTACAGAAGGCTACTAGGCAAGCTTTTGGACTTATTACAGCAGTTTGCCTAATAAATCGTTGTAACTCTGTGCGCAAAAGATATTTATTGTGTATTCAACAAGGAGGTTCTCAGTTTGAACATCCTTGATGATTTTTTTTAGAAAACTATTCGTCACTAAAAAATAGGTTTTTTTAGTTTTGTTCTTTGTTTACTATATCGATTTCATTTTTCTAATTACTTATTATATATATTATATATTATTAATACTATGCAGATAAATACTAATATAGAATATTAAATTATGATAAAAAACAATTAGGTAAATAGGTCCACACAAAATCAAGGCCCGCTTCGATATAAAGATAAAAAAACCTAATATTTCTCTCATTCTTAGAAATAGATACCCTTAACTTTATATCATTGGAAAGGGTTAAACATCAGCATTTTTTTAAGTTCATAGCCCATTATGATATCCATTTAAAAAATTATATTTGTCATTATTTCTGATAAAAAGAGCAAGTATAGAAAAAAACTGACTACGCCACTGGATTGTGCTTAAAAAAGTGCCTTAAGAACGTTTTTACAGAATTTTATTATTCCGCGAAATAAAAAAGTTATGGTCAATTTTCCAAATGGTAAAGAATTCAAAAAGACCCCGTATCTCAGTTGGCAGTGAAAATATCAACAGGCGGTTTACGTCATTAAACGTGTCTCAAAAATCGAGCCCATGACATCTATGTCGGTTTTGCTCTATCTAGTAAGGAAATAGGTGTTCTTTGTCAAAACAGACCAATTTCGACCACCCTGTACATATGAGATCTGGGACAAACGAATCGCTCATCACACGTGTGATAGCGTGGCGTGGGGTGGCGTGGGCCCTAGTGTGTACGCAACACATGTAATTAAATGGAAAAACATACGCTCAGATCTTCATGAAGTGGGTGGCATGGCATGGCGTGTGGCCTAATGGGGTTCCGGCTTAATTGTCATCAGTGGCTTATAAAAAAATTTGCCTAACAGACAAAAATGCTTAACGTTTCGGAAAGTATATCTCTTTCCGTCGTCAGAAGCAAAAAAAAAGACAAAAAATAGACCGTTTATTCTAATCAATCTCTAAACTATTTGTTTTTTACTTTATGTATCACAAATACGTTGTTTGTATAATATCATGATTTACTTCATAAATGATGTCCCAAAATTAACGGAAGATTTTAATTTACCGCCAGTTCTTTCTGCCGAATTTGGATGTTATTGATGTGGTCATTATGTGGTTTCAACCCTTTTAATAACCTTGGTTTCAACTTCAACCAGACGAGACGGTGCCACATGTCAAATAACAATCTAAAAATTAAAAACTGTAATTCATATTTAATTCAAATGTTGCGTTAATTTTCGGATATCCGCCTTTATTAATTAGTAAGTATAAGTTTAAATACATTTAATTAGTTAATTTATATACATATTTTTACTATTTAAAATTGAAAAACGCTTAAATTATTTTTATATTAAAAAGAAAGGAACTAATTAATCCCATATTTGACGTCTATTGAACGGTTTTGTAAAATACGCACAGCAGGTAAATAAAAGTATAATATTCAAAATACGAGTACATATAAGTATAGTTTTTGTACAATTATTGAGGGCCAGTTATCATACAAATACATTTGAATTCACTTTTTACTCATCATTTAAATTGTTTGGTTTGGTTTGGTAATTTAGTAATGATGACTGATAATAATAGTATAGTTTTTCTTGAAAATCCTGTATATTTTAATGTATATCGTATGTTTCTAGAAATTGTAAATATTGTAAATTTAGGAAATTACAATTTTTTTGTTAACTAGATTATAAGTTATTAAAAAATATTTGAATAAAAGACTGCCAACCAATTTATTGTTTTTTCTTTTAATAAGAGCTGATAAAGTATTCTCTTTTTGGACAGACTTTTACAATCAAAGTTTACAATGCAGTTATCAACTTCAAAATATATTAAGATGAATTTCATTACAATTTTGGCAATGTCTATCATTTATGTGTCTCATAGATTGACAAATTTTATATTTGTTTAATCACTAAAAGATTTAATTTTTTAATACATGAAAATGTATAACGTTTCAATTTCATATACAGTATATTCTCGGATTGTCTCTACAAGAGGAAAAAAAACTTTTTTATTATTGACATTTTGAGAAAAATGCATTCTTTATATAAATTAGGGCTTAGAAAAAATTGGTTGAATTTTTTCTAAGCCCTAAAATTAATTGGCGTTTCCCTAATTTATATATAATTGGCATTTTCCTAAAAATCTATTGGCGTTTCTATGGTAATATCAATTTGATTTTATTCTTCTAGAGATGCTAATAGACGGTTATTCATTTTTATTAACGTCATTGGTGTGTTAAAGTATGACTGTGGTATGACATTTTCCTATAATTATCATCACTCTTTCGGTAGCATTGAACTAAATAAATTTTATGCTTTTATTTAACATTTTAAAACCACAAAAATATATTACTTCTCTAAAACGGTATGGAAATTTGGAAAAGTATAAACGGGAATTAACCATTTTAAAACAAGAAAAAATCTCTATGAAGAATGAATTTTTCTCAAAATGTTAATAATAAAAAAGTTTTTCTTATT